TGGCCTGTACTACAACATGCTCATCGGCTACCGTTTCTGCTTCTCACATTCACGCGACTTCATCACACGCTAATTGTTTGTTTGCTAACAATCCTTACTTTCTGTTACCCGATTCATGTGTTCAACAATCTGGCTGCGCTTCCGGTTGCGCCGCGGACCACAGAGTTCAAGCTATGGCTCTCCTTCGTCCCCGATCCTCGTTCCGTCTGATGTGCTTCAACGTTCGGACACTCATGCAGATTGGACAGCAAGTCGGTCTAGCGCGCACCTTACGGTCCCTCGACATTGATGTCTGCTGCCTTTCAGAAACCCGATTTCAAGATCCCAGCACTCTGCTTACGTTGACATCCATCACTGACCACGAAGCCACATATCACCTGCGTCTTACTGGAGATTCAGAAGCAGCCTCAGCGGGTTTGGCTGGTGTAGGTATAGCACTAAGTGGGAAGGCCGAGGCGGCACTACTGGACTGGTTCCCGATTAACAGCCGACTATGTTCAGTTCGGCTTCGGGGTTCATGTAGAATCAACAAGCGCCGCGAAGAGAGACGCAACTTGTTTGTGATCTCCATGTACGCTCCGACTGCAGTGGCGACTCGGTTAAGGACGGATTCTACCGGGATCTACAACAGCTCTTTACTAATGCTAAAAAGTCAGATGTCGTTATCCTTGCTGGGGATTTTAATGCACGGGTTGGCCGCCTGTTACCATACGAACGCCACCTTGGTTGTCACCACGCGCTCGATGAGAACCGCTCTGATAACGGAGAGAGGCTTCTCACATTGTGCGAAAACAACCATCTGTTTCTCTCGAGCACTAACTTCAGGCGTACGAAGAAGCGTTCCGCAACATGGCGTCCCCCTTCGCCAACACAACCGTGGTCTCAAATTGATCACATTGCAATTACCCTCAGATTTCGCGACAGCGTACTGGATTGCGGGTCTTTTTAGTCCACCTTCGTTGACTCAGATCGTGCACTGGTCTGCGCGAAAATCTGTATGTGTCTTGGTGGGTCCCGAAACACGAAACACCGCAAGATTGATGTAAACATTAACTGATTTCTCTGTCCAGGCGAGCTATCAGTCTTCACTGGTATATGCACTCAGTTGCAATCCACCGCAAGACGTGGAGCAACACTGGACTTGTATACGGAAGGCAATGACCATTTCTGGACAGTCAACCTGTGGTCTAGCTCGACGCCCCCTAAAGACTTGGATCTCTGCTCGTTCTCTGGAGCTGTTCGAACGCCGCAAAGATATCCCGGCGGAATCAGATTGCAATGAGCGGCGCCGTTTTTCAACCGCCTGCTCAAGCAAAGCGTACGCAGGGATTGCGAGGCATGGTGGCCTGAGCGTGCTTTAGAGACGGAGACCGCTGCCCTCTCTGGCAACACTCGCAAGCTTCCTAACTCATTCGGTCCACTGGCCTCAGGAAACCTGGCGTCAATGAGGTCATTTGTGAGGTGGATGAGTCTCCGATTACCAACCAACAGTGGGTCAACCGGTGGCCGAGTGGTCTGCACGTTTGCTTTGCAACAATAAGGTCACCGGTTCGAATCCGTGTAGGGGTGGGCGTCCTCGCGGTATACTCAGCCCGCGCGCGACTGGTGGTGGTTGCGCGGCAGCGAAGCGCCGTTACGACGTACAGCTGACATTATTATTATTTATTAACCAATAGTGGCGTATGGATCGCTGGGCCGAGCACTTTCACTCGCAGTTTAACTGGTCTCCACCATCCATCATGCAGTCAGTACACCTTGTTGCCCACCCTGGCTCGTCCCACTGAATCCACCCAACTTAGTGGAAGTCTGCCTCGGGACTCGACGCTTGAAGCGGTTCAAATATGCCAGGTTAGAAGGACTCCCTCTGGAGCTGTTCAATTACTGCGATGTGGCGATCATTAACCAGCTGACCTCACTGTCCGCAATAATCTGGCATGATGAGTATGTGCCTTCCTCTTGGGGCGAATCAGTTATTGTCCCCATTTCCATGAACGGCGCTCGTACTTCATGTGTAAATCATCGCGGGATCAGTCTTATTTTGGTTACTTCTAAGCTGTTGGCATCCATTCTGCTTCGCAGACTATCCCCAATACGTGAATTATACTACCGTGTAGAACAAGCTGGTTTCCGTCCCGGACGCGGATGCGTGGATCAAATATTAAAGCTCCGCCAGCTCTTCGAACATCGCCACATTTATCACAGACTTACTGTCGTTGCATTCCTAGACATACGTGCCGCTTTTGACTTCCTTGCTCGACCAGTTTTATGGCTTTGCTTGCTAAAGAAGGTGCCAGAGCAATATACCGCCATCTTACGAGCACTTGACCTTCACACATCCGGTAGAGTGAGGGTCTATGGCAAGCTTTCCTCGTAATTTGCCGTCAATAGCGGCGGGCGACAGTGCTGTCCTATGTCCCCATTCCTCTTCAACTTCGCAATCGAAGACATTCTGTCGAATGCTCTAGAAGGTTTCCAACACTTTGGCCTAGAGCTTCTACTGGGTGAGCGCGCGACCGACTTTTATTATGCTGATGATATCGCCTTACTTGATGCCGATCCTCAGGGTATGCAACTCATTTTGGATCGTTTGGCGGTTGAAGCACCTAACTATGGCATGAGCTTCTCCCCATCGAAGTGTAAAGTACTGCTCAAAGATTGACTTTCACCTGCTCCCGTGCTCACTCTCGAAAGGGCACAACTTGAACAGGTAGATAGTTTCGTCTACCTTGGGAGCTGTGTTTCTGCTGACGGCACTATCATCAAAGAAGTTTCTCTTTGCACCGCTAAAGCTCGATCAGCATTTGCTAATCTGACGCACTTTCGGCGTCTTCCAGACGTCTCATTCTCGCTAAAAAGCCTCGTTTACAGCGCATTAGTTCATTCAGTATTGTTGTATGGGAGCGAGTCCTGGCCGATTTGCATGGAAGATATGCGTTCTCTTTCTGCATTCGATAACGCTTGCTTAAGAAGGATTGCTCATGTTTGGTGGCAACCTCGAGTTAACAGTAATGACTTTCGACGTCGCATCTTGGATTTGCTGAGCCAGTTGAGGTGGCTCGGTCACGTTCTACGCATGGCACCTGGGCGTCTACCGCGTCGCGCTCTATTCGCTCGTCAAGGACCTGGCTGGAGGCGACCGCGTGGTGGTCAGCCTTCTACATGGCGACAACACATGAAATCGCTGACGTCGTGTCTAGCCGCTGTTGGACCCGTACGTCTTCCAGGATGGGGACCCAAAGATGAGGAGTGCCAATGGCTTAGCACTCTTGAGGATATGGCCCGCAACCGGAATCACTGGAGGAATTGTGTGCAATATTGTATTGATTCACATTGAAAAGGACAAAAAATAGAAAAATCGGCGTATGAAAACAGACTAAAAATGGTTTGTTCCATTTTTTGTCAAAATGTTCCTTTCTTCCTGCGGCTTAGTAGCTGGAGTGTGTCGCTCACCTTCAAGTACCATGCCACGATGAATATGACGCGAGGACTCTCCCTTATCCATGGTATTTTGTTGGCTCTGTGTCTAGTTGTTAGACTGTCGAGATCACTCACTCCCCCTCTAACTTTCATCTCACTTTTGACGCTTAATCTAACTTTTTGCAGCACAATATAAGGCTGCTAGCTCTCCGAAACAATATCGATCCGTTACTGGTAGCTCAGCTTGCGTGCCTGTATTGTATAATCTTTCCTTTCACATGTATTGCTGCGCAACCGCTGTGGCGTTTTCTACCTCTAGTTAGCCAGTATAATGATGTCGGCTGCTAAGGCGCTTGTCAAAACACCACAACCATCCTACCATTCTTCTGCATTCAGTGGCCTTATTGATCCCAGTTTCTGGTGCGCTTCTCCTGAGACTTTTCTACCATCCTTTCCTTGAATGTCGTTTGCAGCTACATTTTTCTCATTTCCCCCTTCCTTTTTTAATTTTTATCCCCATAACAACGCACTTCGGTGCTTGGACCATTTTCGGACAACTGGGTCATCCTCTCCATGTGCCCTTACTGTCCAAGCATTGATCTGTTGTTCCGCAGCCTCATGCGGTTAGCTTTCAGCCTCTGTATTCGTCCCTTGATCTCTTTAACTAGAACGTGTTTCCACCTTAAAGGAATCCTACGGTCCACTCCAACTTTCGGTTTTATCACAACTATTTCAGAAGGACTCTCAGTCGAGGATTTTGCTGCTAACCCGCTACCCGTCATTAACTTGTGCGCTGTTTCCTTTGTTTGCGAGGCTTGTGGCTGTGGCACGAAGGCGAACATCATAGTTCATTCGAGAACAGTCACTTTGAGGGACACTGGTCAGACAAACGCAGTTTTGTAGCTACTGTTCGCTGTTGGTTCCACTTGGTCAGATGAACAGTTTTCTCCAACTTGGATACCCCTACTCACTTTCGTAGTTTCTGTCTTTATCGATGTGATGAAAGGTTCATGCGACCCTCTTGTCACTATCGGAGATCCGCAATGTAACGGCTCAAACGTCTGGTTTGTAGCCTCTTCGGCGGGTTCGAGTTTCTGTCCCGGCCCCATTGTGGGCGTCTTGAAAGTATCCCATCCAGCGCACAACCACTTGCAGTTGAATAAAAGCGAAACGTCGGCCCACACTACTAGTGTACTCTTCATATCTTACCTCCGGCCAACTGTTGTCCTATTGGCCTATGTTTCATAGCTGCATAATCAATGTATGCTTCACGAAATAGATTATTAACTCCTGGACCCTACCGTGTCTCATCCACCTCAGTGCAGTTTCGGATAAAATCTGTCAAACAAACGCACTTGACTTAGGTCCTTTGAGATATGTAGTACCTCTACTTGGTCTGTGCTGCCTGGGTCACTCGCTCATTGCGGTCTATCCACCGAACCTATCCCCGTAAGCGTGCTACAGAGGTGATTTTACCACCCATGGTATTCATTTTACTTCATTTTCTTATTTTCCAATGTTTGTTTCCAGATCTCGGTCTCCAAGCTTGGGTCTCCTGTTCTCCGATTTTCTGCCTTTAATTCATGGCGGGCGAACGTGTGTCCGGAAACTTGACCAGATCTGGAAAGGGAACTCTCATCTATGCCTTAGATGGTACTCTCAGCTGTTTGGCAGTTAACCAAAAGGCAGAACATTTGGCAGTTGCTGGACGAAACTTGTTTCAAGTTCTTGAAATTCGTGACGACTGCTTTGTTCCAGTACGTGCATTTTTTCTCTATGCACTCTCTTGAAACTTGCTGCACTATGCTACTGGTTTTTAATTCCATCCCGCCCTACCACATCTATATTCCATCGGCCTCTTGTAGATTTTCGGATAGCTCTTCCCTTTTTGAAGGCTTCGGAATCCCTGCTCATATGTCCGTCACATAAAGGGAGTCAGGTCCGTGGGCACTCCCGTTTTCCTCTCCCTACCGTCTTCCGGTCAGCTCTCCGAAAACATGACCGTTGATTGGTCTTCTAATTTTCGCCTTTTCAGAGGCCTTTATGCTAGTGTCTGTACTAACCTCTGATCAGTAAACCAAGGGCACATTTTTACCTGAATGTACCATCGCACACCGTAACAGGCCGATGTATTCCGACCTCGATGAATGAGCTGCTTTAACCACCAGTGCTCGTTGTAGGATTTGTCTCTAGACGTCTATTCATCTGCCAACGCTTTCTAATGCAAGCTGTGCAAATATATTTGATTTTTCGTATGGACGCCCACCAATTTATTCGCTATCTTCTGTGCATGACCAAACATTCACTGTCTACTCGTTTGGCTGCTTGGGGCAGGTTCTCGGAATATATCGTCGATAATGTTGTCTGCACGTAAAATCATAAGATAGGTGCCCGTTTTTTCTTCTTTTGATATGCGTCCATTGTCGCGATAGCTACCAAGTCTCGCTAAAGATCCTTTCCGTTAGAAACCGAAACTTTGCGATCTCCACCTCGTCCGCATGTCATTCGTGCCATGAACTCTGTGAGTTACTCCAGCTCTTAACCTCTTTATACTCAATTGTTGTGATTTATGGTGAGTTTATTCTATATGCACTGTGTCGCGCATGCATCTCCGATTTCTTCAACGTCTCAGCATAGATGTCTATGCAAACTGAGTTAAGTTTGCTGCGAGCTCTCTACGTTTTATTTATACAGAAACCATGGAACAGCTTCCTGTACTTATTGTTTCTTCCAGGGTAAACGCAATGCTCTGCATCTTTCTCGTAATCGAAGCGAATCCTTCTGGGACAAAGGATGCATTTTGTAAAGGCGAATCGCGAGACACACTACGTACTCACTACTGACATGGTCCATAAATAATATTTTTCCGACAGCACCTATGACTAACGACGCGGTCATTGTGCCTTGGATCAAACAACTTTCTTGTTATCCATTCAGTCAAACTAACTAACCTTGTGCCTGATTGAAGCATAACCGAACGTTCTCAAACATTTAGCGTGTTCGCATCGACAGGTGACCAGTGACTGCCGTGTGGCCCTTCGGGAACCGCAAAGTAGTCTAGGCAGCAACCGAAAACATGAACAAAGGGCTGTCTGTACTGTACGTAAATGTTATACTTTATTATTGCTTTTTAGCCACCATCAGGCTGTGCGAAGTCAGCTTGGGATTTATCGACGCGCGCAATTAGGGTCACCTTGAGGCTGTCTTTGCCATCAGTGACATCCGCTTGTGGTTATTGATGCGCGTAATGGAGATTACCTTGGAGTCACTCGCCACATCAACGAGCCATCATTACATTCGAACTTTCACACTCCTCGTGTTATTTTCTCCCCCTCCCTGTTCCTCCCATTATTAGATTACTCGTTCAAAGGCTCCTCCTCGTCACCTAGCCTCCAACACACCAGACTCACCTTGCGTTTGCTCCGATGGAGTAGTGCCCGTTACGTCTACTTCGTCGTCTGCTCAAGCTGCCTCCACGACGGTCCATCGCTCGCAAAACATCACGGATGTATCCTGGTCATGCGCTAACAGTGCGTTTCGCTTTCAGTCTTCTTGCTAATCTTATGCATAATTGGGCTTTATGGATGCTGTTTGCTACTTCCATGTGGAATCTTCCGTTATTACAAACAACGCGTTTCCATATCCTTTATCCGCACTGTCTACATCGCAGTGCTCACATTCGGTTTGACCCAACTGTCGACCTTGCTCCGGGCACCGAAGTGCTTTGGGCTAATAATGCTCTACAGTCTCCTATCACAACGACACTGAACTTTAGCGCATGGCAGCTGTTTACCAATCTCTGTGCTCTCTAGCTGATTTGTACTGCGTTGTAATATTTGCTCCAGTGTGAACTGCTCCGACCACATCAACTGCTCATCCAGGTCCATTCCTGTAGAAATGTCCCATCACGTAGACTGTCACTGTATTCTTGCTCCAATATACTCAGGCGTTTTGGCTGAAGATTTTGCTTCAGTATCCCAACCGATCTGTCTTGGTTCGGGCTCCGATATCTCTGGCGGCGTTTAGTGTTTTAACTATAACTATGTTACCGTGCTCCACCTGCACACACTGGATACTCCTGATATTGAGGTGTGCTGTGTCTGCGGAACTATAGTCAGCGACTGTCACATAGTTATCGAACTAATTGCACCCAACTTATCTACTCAATATTGGCAACACCTGCCTGAATGCGCTGAGGCAACGATTACATGTCCAGCTTGGGTAAACATTATACACAGTTTCAAAACTGAGTCCTCGTTAGCTTAATTCCCATGGACAATCGTCAGTGTGTAGCCCATTTGGCAGAGTCAGCTGAGATTAGCGCACGGGTCAACGCCAGCCAGGGTCTTCCGTTTGTTGCCGAATGTGCTGTAACTGACTGCAGTCTATGCTGCAAGAATCACATTCTAACACCAGCTTAACATTCAATTGTTGTGGTGTTCTCCGAGCTGAGCAACTTGATTGCAAACGTCCGGCCCCCTCTTAGGTGGCATCTTCGGTGCAGGATCAAGCTGCGCATCTCGCAGACTTCCACAACAACTGAACAAGCTTCTCGAGCTACCAATATTCTAAATCATTTTGAGCAGCTTAACATGGTATACACTATTACACCAGTGTGGCTATCGTTTCCGTTTTAGCGCTGTTCCAGCTTAATGTCGAACGTACAAACAATAACAGATCTATATTACTGCCATATACTGACTATCTGCTGTTTCGAGTTTGTACTGTTTCTAAACACCATGGGCACCGATGTGCCATTTAACGTCACCCGGCAGCTTCTCGTCTACGAACTCAAAGTGGCTACACCTGACAGGCTTCAGTTAGAATTATTCTACTGTTGACAGCGGCTCATCTTGAGTACCTTCGTCAGTTCTGATCATTTCATGGTAGGCCGCCACCTTCTCTTCACATTTCTATGGAACCAAGCCATCTAACGAGATTAGACCTTAACGTGGTGCGACGGTTTGCGTACCTCCCTGCTGCCTTGCAGACTGGCTTTTGAATCAAAAGTTTGGTTGAGCGCCTAAGTGGTACTCTTGTCTACATCTGGACTGCCTGGTAGTATCTCAGCCCACGTACAACCATGATTACTTCCTCAAAATCCAACCATATCCTGCATCGCTTTTCGCGCAGCTTGTCGTAGGTCGCCTTATCTCCTGTATACAGCAGGATGGATAAGTGAAAACATGCTACCGCTGGCGCATCTCTTTTCCACCTGTTTATCTTACTCCCCTTCCGACACTCATTACTTACCTCCCTAGCCCAGTTGACAACATGGGCAAAACCACTGAAGTTCTACTATCTTTAACTGTGTCCCCGCATCATACACTTAACATCTCTCGACCGCAGCCCCATAGTAGGGTGACGCTGTCCCGTTTCCTTGGCGGCGTTCATCGTTCGCACTCTTAGGTAAGTTGGTCAACAGGGTGCACTCATACGCACGTTGGACACCATGGGTATTGACATGTGTTGCGTGTTCGAAACTGGTAACAATGACCCTTACCTCCTTGGTGAGCTAACTGCGCCCGGCTTGTCCTTGCGCTAATAGTCGTAAGCATCCGGATACGCTGATGTGGCAACCACAGGTCAAGATGAATTGGGCATCATTCTCAGCTTCAAGATTGTGCCATCGTTGGTTGATTGGATTCCCGTGAGCAGCCGTTTGTGTGCAACCCCTTCAACGACATCAACTTAGCTTGGTTCACAAAGTAGCACCATGGACGTTATTTGTTCGCGGTTTTCGCTTAGGCCCCCGGACTGCAGTTCTGTTGTTGCCAAGAACGCCTTCTACCAGGTACTGATCACGCTACTACGCAGTGTTACCTGTTCAGATATCGTTGTTGCTGCATGGAATATGAATGCGCTCTTCAGATGGTTAGCTAGGTTGTGATTTTGGATTTACCTTCACCGGACGAACAGTGGCGATCGTCTGTTGCAGCTGTGTGCGAAGGACTGACTGTTTCTTAGTGGCACCGCTTTTGGGCACATTAAGCCCCGAATTGCTACTTGGACTTGGACTAGCCAGCGATGGACCCAAATAAATGACGTGGTTCCATGCTGGCTTGTCTGTCGTTCTGGAGCATTTGCATCGACTCTGATCATACTTTGGTACGTTGTCGTTTTTCGATGATTTGTATTGGGAGCCTGTTAGGTCTCGAACGGCCTGCTCTAAGGAAAATCGCGTTGTCTGAAAATCAAGTCGAGTTGGCGCCAATGATTCAGGCCAAATCTTGTAACTTGGATGGAAAAACAGAATTTCACACAGACCAAAGTCAAATGCGCACCGAAACGAAACAAATTGACTTGTTCGGAAAGGTAAGTGCGCGATTTCCCACAAAGAACCGTGTGCCTTGCATTAGAACAGTCTTAGTTACAAGCAGACTAGTGTGTTTTTCCATGTTGCAGAACATTGTTACTATCGCTTGTTTCACGCCACTCACACGTCCCTTGTTTCTTTGAGACATATAAAATCAAACGAGCACACTTCCGTGATTTGAACTGTATCAGGGTGTTTTCATCCCAACGCGGCCTGTTCTGTGTTTCGCCAATATACCACTCGTCCAGTGGTTTGTCTTTTGAATTGCGTGGCACAATCTAGGAAGCCGCTAAGTCGAGCCCTGAAGACACAACAGAGCCGTACCAAGGGATTTCCCTGAAAACTGAGTAGTTATCCCATCCCTCTGTCAGACAATACTACCAAGAAGCTCTGCGCACTTAACTTTTGCTCTCTCTCACTATTGACACAGGGTTTCAGTGGAATAGTGTATTATTCCCCGCTATGCACAATTCGGAATCCTCTGTTTGCCATCGCAATGAGGCTGGACTTTACTGTGGTGCGATGGTTTGCGTGCCTCAGAGATCCATTGACCTGTGCTGGGTGGTGCTTTTTTGCACATTTAGAGCCACTCATACCAGGTTGGTCATTAGTTAGTGGCCAGACAAACTCAGCCTCCTGGTCCTCCAGGTTGGGGGTTGGAATGAGGGTGGCTCCTTATTCCTTAAAACGGACTCTGTAGCCAAATGCCAAACCCGCCGCCTTTCGGTCAGGTTTTTGAACCAAAGGCTTTGGTTGAGAACCCTAATCGTTCTCCTGTCTAGGCCTGGGCAACCTGACAGTATCCTGCCCACGCAATACAATGAATTTCTCTTCAAACAGTTTCTTGATGCTCTGGCCACCGCGGAGGATAATCAACGGTGCCCTATCTGCTGCATCGAGCAGGGTGGATAGGGGTTTGGATGCTACTGCTCAAGCCTTTCCGTCTTCTTATTCCCCCTTTTACGCTTTTTCACCCTTATCGTCCCGTTCCAGCTTCACTTCCATCCCCCTGTTTTCAACCCCCCCCCCCAATTCTTGGCCCTCCCCCATCTTGCTTCAATAGTCGCTTGTCTTTTAATTTCAACTCACATGTGAACGCGGAGCTTCATTCCTGTCCTGTCGACAAGCCCATGTCCAAGCAAACGGTCAAGCCCAGTTCATCGGCTTCCATTTGGAGCCCTCGATCATCCTTCAGATTGACATGCCTCAATGTTCGCACATTGCTTCAGATCGGTCAACAGGCAGCACTTGCCCGAACACTAGAGACCCTCTCGATCGATATCTGCTGCTTATCGGAGACCCGCCTGCAAGACTCGAGCTCTGTGCTCTCTGCTAGAGCAGCACCACGCATATCGCAGGTCGACAATAGCTGTTCCTCGATTTCAAAAGTGTTTTAGCTTCAATCCATCGATGTTCGAAATAATTGCGCGGAGAGGTGTTCTCATGAAATATGTGAACATTCTGCGTGCTCTTTACTCGAACATCACAGACGGCATCGAGGTCTACAGTGACCTGTCGGGTAGCTTTCCGACAACAAGTGGCGTTCGTAAGGGTTCACTGTTTTCTCATTTTTCTTTACCTTTCTCGTGAACTCCATCATCGAGTGTTTCTTTGCGAAATCCAAAGATGCAGGCATTATGATTCTGCCCTGTGAAAAGCTAGTTTATCTTGATTATGCGGGCCACATCGTCTTGTTGTTGATAGATGTTGGAGCGGCTCAATCAACCCTGAATAGCCTCTCTGGAGTGGTCTCATCATTTGGCATACGCTTCACGCTTTCAAAGTGCAAGTGTTGTTACAAGCTCACAAGCCACTTCGCGACCCCTTGATCTTTGGTGGCGAGGAACTCGAGGTATTTAATCACTTCACCTATCTTGGCTGCTGTATCAGCAGCGATGGGTGCATAACTACCGAAATCGGTTCATGTGTTGCGAAAGCTAGAATGGCCTTTTTTAATCCGCGACCTCTTTCGCGTCAGAAAGGTTTTTATCACTGTCTGAAGGACCGTGAGAACCGTTCTGCTCTTCGATGTGAGCATCTGAACGCCAACAAGTGCTTGATCATCGCTGCTTGCGAACCTTCGGTGGCGTCGGATGGCACCAGCATGTCCGCAAGTAGGCAAGTGCTAGGCAGTGATGATCAGCCTAGTACTTTAGAGGAGCGGAGAGCACTGAATAAGTTACGTTGGTTTTGGCACGTACTACGGATTCCCAG